TTCCTGCTGGAAATGCTGCAGGTGGCAAACGTACTCTGCTCAGCTTCTTGGTGCTCAAGAGGCCAGGTGAAGTCAAGAAGGGAAAACGGAGGGAGCCAAAGCAAGGACAAGCCTGGCCACCCCTGTCTGCAGGCTCAGCTCCACCTGCTCACAGCAGGGCCAAGGGGATAAATGCTGCTTAAATGTCCCACTGCCCAGGCCGAGAAGGGATCTCCCGGTCCTCCAGGAGGGCCCGCTTTGAGCGTCCCGCGGCCTGGTGACTGTCCTGGCTGGGCCTCACCTCTCTGCCCTGTCCCACCCGTGCCACACCCACCGCAGGCTCGCAGGGACAGGGGTCTCCTCCTGCGACAAGGCCCGGAATCCCGGAGCCTTACCCACGAAGTCCGCGCCCAGGACGAGCTCCTGCAGCAGAGGGAGGCTCTGCTCGAACTCGTCGGCGCCCACGTCCATGGCCACGCAGCTCGTCCGAGGGCGCCCAGTGCGGCCATGCGCAGCCACGCGCTTCCGCCGCGCCGCTGGCCTTAAAGGGCTCGCGCAGTAAAACCGGCCGCCCCCGCGCCGCCACCAGTTCCGGGAGCCCCCAGATTGGGCCTGAGCTGCTGGCCACGCACCACCTGCCCAACAGGTGTTTGCTTTTACACCTTGCCCACTAGGGCGAAGGGTTGGTTAGACTCCGCCTTTAAGATCAAAGCCCGTTTTACCTTGCTCCGCAGCAATTTCTTTGCAGTCCAAGGTGAGCGTGTCGTTTACATAGACCTAGAATGTTAAGGGGAGAGTAAGGCCCGGAAAAGGGTGAAACCAGACCATCGACAGCACCTGAAGCAATTGCAGTTAAGTAGCTACTGCAGGTACGACGGGGGAGGGGCAGAGGGGCCACTTCGTGTGTTTCCTAAATCAGCACTTCTCCCCAAGTTCACCGTCCTCACCGGTATAGGTTGGTCCCTATTCCCTCCCCCACACTCCATCTTTTCCTCACTTTATTGGGCATCATAGCTGTCCTTAATACCTTGTAGCAAAGCGTCAAAGATCGCACCTGAAGGAATCCTTGGTGCAGAGACCATCTAGAATAGTATTCCTTGCAGGAAAAAAATCCCTGCCTACAGCATCTTACAGGTAGGTGATCCTGGTTTCGCCATTGAATTTCCAAACTCACTAGTCCAGTCCATCATCTAATTCCCCCTTTGAATTCTAGACTTGTTTCAACAGCCTTCTAGATTAGAACCGTGGTCTTCAAAGTGAGATGCTCCAATCTTTAAGAGGGAAGAAAATATTACAACTACTTTGTGTCTCCACTCGGGTATTTATTGATCAAAGGGGCCTATTGCATTCTGAATCACTCATACATTTTAAAAATGTTGGTGCATACGTGAATACTCAGATTGAGAGTAAACATTGAATACTCAGATTGAGAGTAAAGTTATTTTGCTCCTATATAAATATATAATTGGGCACACATTTAATACTTGGAGGTAAAATGCTCTAGAAGCCACCTTAACTGTTTACAGGTTCTTCCTCTTCATGTCTTAAATAGGCAGAAACAGTTAATACCTTACTTTGATTTAATCAACTGTTTTAAGATAACTGAAATGATTCCCATTTACCCCAACTTCAGTTTTAATTTAGAATGCACTTCAAGCTTCAACTCCTAACAAATTTTCACTTCATAGCAATTTGGCATACACTAATCCTGTCCCTTTAAACCTCTTTTGTTCCTCCTCGCATTCCTTTTTCAAATCTGGTTCTGCCTGTTAGGATCCAGACCTCCAAATGAGGTCAGAATTTGTCCCTTTTACCGACATATTACTAAGACTGTTTATAGTAAGTTGAAATTTCTTATTTTTTAAAAAACACCTCCTCACCCAGAGCAGCAACACTTACCATTACTGAGATCACTATAAGCTAGACATAACACGTGCTTTGCATAAACCTATGTGTACTCTTGCCACAGTGAGCTCAAAGGTGAAGAGATTTAGTATAACCAGAAATTAAGAGTTTGTAAAATGCCTTTATTCTTTAACTTAAAACATTTGTCCTTTAAAAGTTAATTACAACTTGTGACAGCTTTTCTCAGATACTCCTCTCAAATCCGAGAGGGAAAGAATGTAGTCCTTGATTAAAAAAAAAAAACCCACAAACACATGCACGAGGGGAGGTGGGGTGGTTTTAACTATTAACAACATCGCAGCTAGATTATTGCATGAAACTTCCAGGCGGTCTGTTCTTCCACGCGCTCTCTTCTGATGTAACAGCTGGCAGCTTTATATTCACACGCTCCAAAGAATGCTGCTATTTCATTCATAGATTCTCCGAGGCTCCTGAAGCACCACACCGCCTTCTGTCATGGCATTCCGTAGTCGTTGCATCTAGTTTGAAAGATCAGAAAAAAATGAGGTTAAGTCAGCACCACAAGATGACAATAAAGAGTTCACTTAACAAGAGAAAGAAATAAATGATTTGCTTTTTGCTAACTTCCCAGCCTACACCGGTTTTCCAGAAAGTAATCCTAGTAATGACATAGATAAGAAAGTACAGAATATAGACACGGCAAGGATTAATAGTGGCATTTTAAAGCACTATACAGAGAAGATGTCAACACATAATAGGAAAGTGGAGTGGTCGCCATTGTGGAATCAGTCACCGTGGGTTTGACACCTCTCCCAAACTGACTCTGGACAAGTGGCCTCCAGGTACTTACATACAGAACAGGGAACACTATTCCTGACCCTTGGCTGCTCTGAGGATGAAATTAGGTAATGCACCCCAGGATACTTACCTCAATCTGACAGGTGAAAAAACCTTAATAAATGGAACTATTATTATGATGTAAGTATGTAATATCAAGAATTAACGCGAAACTTGTTAAAGTACATGAAAACAAATATACCGAGTCTGAGGCTGCCTCCCACGGAGTTGGTTGGTAGACCATGAAGTTGATTCCTGCTTCTAAGCATCGTCCTGCCAGCACCCGTCCTATACTCTCACAAGCCACCACGTTTCTGGTACTATACAGGTACTTTTTAATAGCCCATTCACGAGTGGATGCCGAAACCACAACCTGTCCATTTCGATGCTCAACGACTGCTTCTATATGATGCTGAGTCCTTACAACTCGCAACCTAAATGAGGTGAGAAGAGAATAAAATCATTAAAGAATCCTAAAGGCAAGTGCCCTTAGGTGAATAAATATGCCTAAATATTTTGTTCATTTACTTCAACATACTTAACTTGGATTTTACCGGGGAAAGGTGTTTTTCCTCTGCCTTTATGAGGGAGTCCTCAAAAATAAACTAAACACTCTCAGTTAACCTCAAATATCCAAGAGAAATTTGGTATTTCTGAGAGCTGAGATTTATTTATACAGCACCTACTTCAAAAAAGGATTTGAGGAGGCAGAGCTAAGTTGCTGACCCTACACTAGGTAAATATATGCTTACTCTATACTTTTAATTTACTCGCTAACACCAAAACAAATGTAAGATGGATCGAAGACTTAAATGTAAAAACAGAAATCATAAGAGTACTAAAAGACATGGGAGGAATTTTTTATAATCTCTAAGGTAAGCCTGTTTAAATGACATGAAACCATGTCATATGGCTTTTGAAAAAGATTGACAAACTTTTCCACATTGATGGAAAACAAAAACAGTAAAAAGAAGTCAAAATGCAAGCAATGAAACAAAAAAATATTTTAAACTCATGTATTGTTCAAAGCGGTTATTTTCATGTCAAAAGCTCCCCATAAATCAGTAAGAAAATGACCAATACCTTAATAGCAAAGAATATAAAAGACCATTTGCAGAAAAGGAAAATATAAATGACTTTTAAGCCCATAAAAATGACCAATATCATTGCTAAACTGCATGGACAAAACAAGTCATTGCAACAATATTTGAAATCATAGAAAATAATCATCAATAGGGTGCCAGCTACCTAAAACATCCATGCAACGGTATTCTATACAGTTACTAAAAAGAATGAAGCGGCACTTTACGATGATGATGCTAACGTTTATTGAGCACTTACTGTACCAGGAACTATTATAATTGTTTACAGGTACAGTTCATGTCTCAAAATAACCCCATTATTATTTCCTTTTTTTTTTTTCAGCCTGCAGAAATGGACATAGTAATGTTAACTATCTTTAGCAATATTACAACTAATGGTAAATAATGGAATGGAATTTAAGTTCAGGAGTCTGCCTGAAGAGCCAATGTTTTGACCTGACCCAATGCAAAGGATTTCCAAGATGTATTTGTGTGTGTATGTGTATGTTTTAGGGGAGAGGTGCAGTGTATATGGTGTGCTAAGATTTATAATTTAAAAACTACAAGTTTATACTTACATGCATAGACTATCTCTAGGATATACAAAAAACTATTTTGGATTTTATAACACATGTACATATTATACATTTAAAAATCAGGCTTATGTTAAAAAAAAAAAAACCACTGAAATTACAGACTACACTAAGATTCTCAGTGTGAAAAATACACTAGATTTAGAAACATGGGTTCTACTCCTGGTTTGGGGGTAGCCTGATTTTGAGGGGTCAACAAACTTTTTCTATAAAGGGTCAGATAGTAAATATTTTCGGCTTTGTAGGCCATATGGTCTCTATCACAACTGCTTAATTTAATTATAGTAGTACTAGAACAGCCAGGTGAGAATAAGTGCTGGCTATGTTCCCACAAAACTTTCTTTGTGAATAATGAAATTTGAATTTGATATAATTTTCACAAGTCACAAAATATTATTTGGATTTTTTTCAACATTTAAAAAAATCATAAAAATGTTTAGCTAGTAAGCCAGCTTTGGCCCATGGGCCATAGTCTGCTGTTCCTTGTCTTAAACCATTTGTTCAACAAAGGGATAGGACTCATCTCTAAGGTCACTTCCTACTATTATATGCCAAAATTCTATGTTGTTAATACTGCCAATAGGGTAGATGGGGCAAAAAAATGGGAAAATAAACTTTAATTACTTAAATGATCCAAATATCGACAGTAATTGGCTGGGTGGTTCAAAAGAATTTTAGACTTAAGATCCAGATTATTTCAAAATGGAACTGCTTATTCCCTTTGACTCCTTCCTGTACACACTTAAGTAAAAATGCATCATAGCAACTGTAACACTTCATTATCCCTATCCCAATCTCTCCCTACGAAACTGTTAAGACTTTTGCTGATAGGGATGACAGCTACTTTATCTTTGCATTTCCTGCATCTAGCACAATGCCTCTGAGGTGACATAGGCCTAATGTTTATCGAATGACAAAATGGACAAAAGAATTCATTGCAGCAATGAATATGACACAGTGATGATTTCTAACTTGCTCTTATAACTTTATACAATTTTTAAAAAATATTCTATTTTTGACAAATCCTTACCAAGTAGATAAGCTGCTGCACAGTGGTAATAATTAGTGCCCTGGGTCTGAGGTCAGACGAAACATGTTTGAATTTTACCTCTGGAGCTTACTAAAGTTGTCTCCCTAAGCCTCAATTCCCCTGCTCCTGTAAAATGGGGGAAATGATCGTACCTGCTTAATAAAATAGTTTTAAGGATTAAATGCATGTAAAGCAACTAGCACAGTTCCTGGAAAACAAGATGTTCAATAAATAACCATCTTCATAATAGACTCCTAACGGGTTTTCAGCTTCTACCCTTGCTCCTTAAAAATGTGTTCTCCCTAAACAAACCAAAATTATCTCTAATTCAAGCTCAAACTTTAAATCGTTTCATGGTTTCTCACTGCAGTGAAAATAAAGCCTAAAGCGCTTACTTTGATTTACAAAGTTAATAATCCATATTCTACCGACTTCTCCATTTTCATCTTATACCATTCATGCTTTGCCTGCTGAGATCCAGGCCTTTTAGTTTCTCAAAGGCACCAAACTCATATCCACCTTGTTTCCTCTGCTGGCAGTGCTCTTCTTGGCCGGCTGTTTGGCTTTTTACTGTCTTTTAGAAGGGCCTCAGAGTGGCACCCAGTCCCTCATTCAACCATCATCTTCTTTAAATTTTCTCGGTGACACCTACTTACAGTGTTTGTTTCCGACCTCCTCCTTTCCTTAACCCCCTCGCACTTTAGCTTCCTGAGAGTAAAGTCCCCAACAGTATCTAGCATGCTCGTTGATGAATTGATGAAAATTTGGAGGGCACCGTGCACTGCTCTGTTGTTAGTCAAAAACTTAATTACCTGTGCCAGAACTCACGGGAGGGCCACACTGTCCCCCAACCCCGCTCTTTCCTGGCTAGAGCTAAGAGCTCCAGGTTCCGGGGGTTCCGGTTGATGAACTCTGGGGCAATTGCTTCGTTTTCCAGAGGGTCCACTTCGGGTTTCACCTCTGGCTTGGAACTGGTTGAGAACACTGCGACCCCACACCCTAAGAATGGAAACAACCAGACGGATCTTTAAAAATGACAAATATGGACAGAACAGGACTATCCCTATCCACTCCCCCAATCTTCGCAATCTGGAAGGGGGACAAAAGGTATGTTTGGTCACAGGGTCCGGTTATCACAGGTCTCAATCCTTAATTTTCTACGACTGTCATGTCAATGCTGGTAGTTCGTTTACTCTTCGATGGAGTAAGCTGAATATAAAAACTTGAACATGCATGATTGTGCAGGCCGCGAGGGTTAATCTATAGATTAGTGGGAAGATTACCGGGGTTCCTGCAAATCGACAACAACTCCCGACACCGCGACCGAAGCGCCATCGCTGAGGGAGATCACGGGCAAAGCCTCGGCCTCCTTTTCTCACCAGCGACCTAGCAGCACGCCAGCGGCGCCCATATTAATTCATGGTAGAACCTTACAATCGCATAGGGCGTCAGCGCCTCGACCCGGAACTAAAAAGCGCCCTGCCACTGAGTGGCCGAGAGGGCAACCTGTTATCCCCGCATCTCCAATCACCACTTACGCTGGGCGCACGCAGACACCAGAGCCGACCAACCAACTCGCAGTAGCGCACTTAGGGGCGGGCCCGACCCTTAGGTTGGGCGACGCTTTGTGCCAGGTTCCCGCGTCAGGCGCTCGCATCTTCACGTTACCTCGGGTCGCAGAGCTTAGACCCACCCCTGTCGGACGGACGGACGGACGGACGGTCCAATCACCACTTACGCTGGGCGCACGCAGACACCAGAGCCGACCAACCAACTCGCAGTAGCGCACTTAGGGGCGGGCCCGACCCTTAGGTTGGGCGACGCTTTGTGCCAGGTTCCCGCGTCAGGCGCTCGCATCTTCACGTTACCTCGGGTCGCAGAGCTTAGATCCACCCCTGTCGGACGGACGGACGGACGGACACACACACACGCACACACACGCACGCACGCGCGCGCGCGCCAGTTGGGTACTGGGTAGACAGCGCCCCACAGGTCATGGAAAAGCTTGCCCCGCCCCATCGAGGTCAGGTCCCCAAGATTACACTCGGGAGCCCAGGAACAAAGCCTGCGACTGGCCGCGCGCTCTCGGAGCAAGTTCCTACATTTGAGGAAAACAATCACCGCATAAGCTATCGCGCATGACCTGCTCAGAACCTCAGAAAAGGGCCCGCCCCGTCCCCCATCCCATTCTCCGCCAAGCTCCGCCCTACCGAACCACTTTTTCTAGAAGTCACTAGAATGTGCAAACGCGCACGCGCAACCCGTGCCTTGAGGGACGCTTCTGCAGAGAACCCTCCTCCTCCAGTGGCCCAAAACCCTGACTTCCGTTCTCCCACCTTCGCGCCCTTCCTATTCGCTCTCTTATTCGGTGAGAGTACCGAGCCGCCCTCTTCCGGCCGCTCGCTTCCGGTACGTCCGCGCTTCCCACCGCCCCCCACCATTCATTCTTTCCCGCCCTGCTCCGCGGCTGGGCGGGGGCGCGGAGAGCGGCGTTCCCAGCAGCCCCTGCGGCGCCGCTTGTGCCCGTTCCACGCCGTCGCCGGGCTTAGGGATCGAGACGCGACTTGTCCGCGGTGCGAGTGAAACTCGACGTGTACCCTGCCGCGAAGATGGAGGGGCCTCTGTCCGTTTTCGGGGACCGCAGCACGGGGGAGGCTATTCGCTCCCAGAACGGTAAGGGCGGGCGAGGCCTGGGTCAGGCCGAAGGCAGCGCGGTTCCTCTCTCCCAGCCCGCCCGCTCGGGCCCTGCGGCCGCCGTCCTTGCGCTTTCTTCTTCTCCCCCAAAAAGGGTGTGAGCGGTGGGGTGCACGCGACCCCCGGCGGCCTCACGACCACTGGGTGGGGCAGCAGCGCCTCTTTCTCGTGGGGGGGGGAATCCCGGAAAGCGCCCCACGTTTTTGAGAAGTGCGCTGGACGAGGTGGTTGAGTGCGGGTGCCCAGGCCCTGGTATTGGCATAGCGGGCTCCCGTCCCGGCCACGCCTGCAGGGTCCTTTGGTCCGGATGCTCTGCGCCCCCTTTCCTCCGATTCCAGCCACGAAGGGCGTTTCCCAACTTCTTGGCCTTGTTTTAGGACCATTAACCAGAAAAGACTAGTTTCAGCTGCTCGTTTTAATACGCGCAAATGGCCACAATTCCGAAGACTTACCTATTGTACCCCACCGCTTACCATGTGTAGTAGATGTCGGGAGCTCCAATGTCCATGTATAATTCTTATCTCACCCCTCGCTGACAGCTTGTTAAAATAGCTGACGGAATTTCAGTTGGGTGTTAGCATAAGCGATACTTAAAATGAATTTATTCTAGTAAACAATTTGTCATTGAGCCTCTTTTGAGAGCGTTTACACACGCCTGTCAACCTTACCGTTATTGGTTACGATACTTATTTTTGCCTTGGATGAATTTGAAATAAACTTAGAACCTTTGGATTCCCACTTTTATCTTCTGTATGAAGTGGTAAAACCCGAATTAGGACTAGCAGATTACCTTTTTATTCTGAGGCAATGAAGTGGATGCTCTTTGACACACCTGTGTCACCTTTGCATATGAATTCAAATTTGCTAGTCTTCCTTGCATGCGAGATTTTGTTAGCTAACTTTTTAGTTAGGACAGATTTGTAGATTTGGAAAATTCAGAGGCTTTTGGATGTCATTTACTTCCTTTAGGGGAAATGATTGTTCTTTGAAGTAGTAGATTTTTCTAATATCATTACTTTCTTTGTTTCTACAGTTATGGCTGCAGCTTCTATTGCCAATATCGTAAAAAGTTCCCTTGGTCCAGTTGGCTTGGATAAAATGTTGGTGGATGATATTGGTGTAAGTATAGCTAGATGTTGTGTTTGTTACTTTAAATTAAAAAAGACCGTAAAAATTTCATGGTGTAAATTCTTTGTTTTTAATGGGACTGCTGCTGTTGGGAGGTGTATATCACAAGGGGGTATACGTGTGTTATTAGAGGATATCCTGTTTCTGTAGGTGATTGTTGTTTTCTTCCTTGCAAATTTCTTAGGATGTAACCATTACTAATGATGGTGCCACCATCCTGAAGTTACTGGAGGTAGAGCATCCTGCAGCTAAAGTTCTTTGTGAGCTGGCAGATCTGCAAGACAAAGAAGTGGGAGATGGAACTACCTCCGTGGTAGGTAGTCAGTCACTGGGTAGATGGCTAAGGACTGGTGTTTTCCTAAAATCAAGCTTATAGAAAGTTATTTGCTTCTGAGTCGGAAATAAGTTACATACTTAAGAGGGAGAAAATGTAAGGTCTTTTTTGGATAGTGATTCAGAAACAAAACTTGAAAACTGGGTGGTTGTAGCTAGTTTCCACAATTTAAATAAAAAAGAAACCTGAGATAATATGGTCATGTCATTTTAAACATTTGTTTACACAAGTTTTATGAGTTTTTCCTCAGCCATAACAATATCCATACATCACAATTTTGAAAAATAGTTTTTAAAAGAAAGTTTTTCTGTCCCCACAACCCCTAACCATGACCTGAGACTTGGACATTTCTAAAACCTTTTTTTATAATTATCTAAAGAAAAAAATGTTGCCAGTTTTTAATAACAAGTTTTTACATTTTAAATATTGACAAGGCAGTCTCATGAGTTCAAAATGGGAGTGTGAGAAAGTAAACGACATGAACTTAAAGATCATCCAGCACTCTGATGTGGTAGAAACACTATTGTTTATATTTCTATATTAAACTGTATTAAACTACAAGCTGTAAAAAGAGTACAGTCTATCTCTTCTAAAATAATAATGGTCTTGTCCAAGTAACTTGTTTATGATAATACCATTTAAGTAAAATGATTATAATTTACCCCAAAAGAAGCAGTCAGAATTTTTGAAGTCTTTGATTTTAAATTAAATAATAATCTAAGCTAGTACAGGTCATTTGAGTAGTCAGGCTCTTCATTTATCATCTTTAAAGGTAGTGGGTGTGTGGTCCTTCATTTACTGTTGTACTGTAGAACTAGTGTTGTCAGCCAGAACGTTTTTTCTGGCTCTTACCCAGCTTTGGGCATTCACATATAAAACACTGTAGTTATATTTTTTTAGGTGTCTAATAACCAGTTATTTTCACTGCCATCACTATTCTGGTTAGTAATATCTGATCATTTTGGTGGTGTTTTTACATATGTATTGCATATATTAAATGTCTGTTTAATATTAGAGCAATGAATGTTTTCTCAACAGGTTATTATTGCAGCAGAACTCCTAAAAAATGCAGATGAACTAGTCAAACAGAAAATTCACCCCACATCAGTTATTAGCGGCTATCGGCTTGCTTGCAAGTAAGTTTGTTTGCATTCAGAGAAAATTTTATTTAATGTAATAATTATAAACAATCTGTGTTCTTCAAATGTTTTCATTAAGGACTAAATTCTATTTTGAAAAAGTTGTATTTTAGGATTTAAGTAGTAGTCTTTGAAGTAAGAAGTAGAGCCAATATCAATATTTTCCCGTTTGACTACCACATTTTCTCTTAATAATAGATTTTAGTGGCTATGCTTACGGGATAGATTAAAATTGCCATGATCTGAAGAGGGAGGATTTATTTGTGTCCTCCTCCTATATGAAATGGCAGAACAGAAAATTGGTGGTGTCTATGACATTTTGATGCTATGATAAAACAAAAGTTTGAGTAGTAAATTTTGTGTTTTCTCTCTCATGCTTTAAACAGGGAAGCTGTGCGTTATATCAGTGAAAATCTGATTATTAACACGGATGATCTTGGAAGAGATTGCCTGATTAATGCTGCAAAAACATCAATGTCATCCAAAGTCATTGGAATGTATCCTTGTAACAGTCTGATAAAGTTGAGGCTTTATTAAAAGACCTCGTGTTAGTTTTTGTGCCAGGTGATGCTGTATTGAAATTTTCTGTTCCTTTCCCTGTTTTTCTAGGGGGAAAAATAAAGTGTGTTTAAAAGTAGTGTGAATTACGGATAGTGATAAATAGCACTCTAGCATTTGGGTGGCATGAATAATGCCTGTTTCTTTGATGAGGTTGCAGAAAGGAAGTGCTTTTGAATTACCCTTGATTTTCATGCGCACCCACTGTCCAAGTCTCTTGTTCTCCTTAACTATTGCCTTAGAAACGGTGATTTCTTTGCTAATATGGTAGTAGATGCTGTACTTGCTATTAAATACACAGATGTAAGAGGCCAGCCTCGCTATCCAGTCTCTTCCATTAATATTCTGAAGGCCCATGGGAGAAGTCAGATGGAGAGTCTGCTCATCAATGGCTATGCACTCAACTGTGTGGTGGGATCCCAGGGTAAGGCTCGGGATTTGGTCATATAACAAGAAGACTAAAGGGTAAAATTAGTTTTTTGTAGACTGCATACTGTTCATCTTCAGATGAACTATCCGAAGTGTGCACTTCCTGTTCTTTTAGGAAGCCCAGAGGAAAAGGAAACCGTACGTCAGGTTGTTAAATTTGTGTTTACGTATAACAATTTAGTATTTCTGCTACTTTTTATTATGCTTTCAGGATAGGTATATGTTTTAAAACGTAGCATTGTTTATAGTTACCATAAAGGAACTTAATAATATGTTCAATTATAGGCATGCCCAAGAGAATAGTTAATGCAAAAATTGCTTGCCTTGACTTCAGCCTGCAGAAGACAAAAATGAAGCTTGGTGTACAAGTGGTTATTACAGATCCTGAAAAGCTGGACCAGATTAGACAGAGGTATGTTGAGAGATCATTTTTGCCCTTTGAAAAGGGCTGTTTGTAAATTATTCTTTTGTTAGAGCCATTGATAGTAAGCTAAAAGGAGCACATGCTACATCTCGTAATTAACAATACGGGTGGTCAAGCAGTTACTGGGTACTAGAGAGTGGCAGTTATCCAGTTGGATTTTTTAAGTGTGAGTGTCTTGGAGTACTTTAAAAATTAATATTTTTAACTGAAGTCAAACTTTTACATAAGCTTCAGGAAAATTAGAAAATGTGGCAAATTGATTGGCATGCTGGGGAGCTAGTTGTGAAGAAGTAATTTGGCTGCTGCTGTGGATTTTGACTACCTACTTCTATTGGACCCATATCACTCAAATAAGTTTTTAAGGGTTTTTTAAAACAAACAAGCACAGTAACTGAACCAAACCCGCAGGCTGTCTTTGCCGAGAGTCAGGAATGCTCGTCTTATAAATCTAAGCGCATGTGTGCTCTTTCCTTTCTTCCTTGTAACAGTGGCTTTTTTTCCACCAAAGGCCAAACTCTACAATAAGTGTTCCAGGTTCTGTTGCCTTCTTCCTTGGAATCTTGCTTCATTAGTGGTTCTTTCTCATTTGCGGCTTCAACTAGTAATTCTACTCTTTATTCGTTTGTAGATTCCACTTGTAGCTCACACATCCTGCTCCAGTTAGTCCTTATCCTTCTCCGCTCCTTTAATAGCCAAATGTCTCGAGTGATGTACACAAAAACTCGTCCGATGCACTTCTCATTCCTTTTTCAGCTGTGTTCGACAGTGGAGGACCACTCGCTAAGGGCACTAGTGACTAAGGGTGAAATTCACGAGACATTTTCAACCTTCTCTTGATCTTTATCAAGCCTTTGGCCACTTTCTTGAAACACTTGGAGGATGGAGTAGCTTTGTGATCCTATCTCATCGGCGTTCCTGCTGCCGCCACCATCTCCCCACTTTTCCCAAGAAAGCTCATTCCTATGACTTCAGATGTTATTTGAGAGAGTCCCAAATCTGTTTCTCTGAGCTCCAAACACACATACTTGTCTAATTGAATGCTTCTTAAGCATCTCAAAGTCGTTTCTAAAACTGACAACACCCCGAATCCACTCCAGGCTGTTTTAGTGGTGGGGACTCCTCTTCTTTTACCTGGCACTCTTTTTTTTTTTTCCCTTCTAGTCTACCATCAAGACCACCTGATTTCTATCTTCAAATTAAATCAAGTTTATCTACTTTGCATTTTCATTTTCTTTCTCAGACTGTTGTAGAGGTGCCGAGGCTGGTCATCTGGATTTCACTCTTGTCCTCTCACAGGCTGTTTTCCACACGGTAGCCAGGTTGATCTCATTACTTCCAAGGCCAGAGCCCTTTTAATTATTTTCACTGTGGTTCAGCCACAACAGGGTCATTCTGTGTATTTGTATGACTTTGATTACAAGCTGTAAAGGTAGAGACTACATGATTTCTTTGGCTTTATATCCCCTGTTCTTAGTATAGTGTCCGGCACCCAGTACTTGTTTAGTGTAGACCGAAGGGTCTGTTTTGAAGTTCAGCTTTAAGTCATTTAATTTAAAAAAGTCTTTAAGTGACCTCATGTACTATTCTTCGCAAGAAAAATGAAGTGGCTTCAGTTGTCTGTATGTTGAGCATATCCCTTTCACGTAGCTTACTTGTGGTTTCCATACTACGTCTGCCTCCTGACAGCTTCACCTGAATAATGGGGCTTCCAACTCATCTTGTTGAAAATCGAACTCTGTTTTCTCATCCTGTCCCAGCCTGTTAGGATTCGTTTTACTCCAGGAGTCAGCGGCTGAGCCATGAACTTTGACTTCTCTGTTCTCGTCATGTGTCTCCAGTGACTGCCTCCTGGCCTCAGCCCTTCACCTTCTCAGTGTACTTTCCACACTGACATCAGGGCGTCCTTTAAAAACATGGGACAGTACAGCTTTTCTTAAACGTAGTCGAGGTTCTTAACACTCCTAAAACGTTCTTTTTTTTTTTTTTTGGTCCTACCTGCAGTTTCAGGTCTGGACCCCTCTCCTTTGGGCTTTCTTTGTCTCGCCCACCAGGCTGGATTCCTGCCTCGTGCTTGTCATCTCCACTGTAGTGACATTCACCTTGACATGTGGTTACAGTCTGCCTCTCTGCTAGAACACTGAAGGCAGGGACGCTTTCTCTTCTAACCACCGTTCTTGGTCAGGGACTCGGGTTGAGAAGAATTAAATGGTAATTTTTAATTCCTTGAACTTCCCATAAATTAGACTGATTTAAATTCTGGTCACAGAAGGGAAGGAATGGTTAATATAATTTCCCCCCCGCTTTAATTCCCCTCCTACCCCTTCTACCGCTGACCTATGGATATTGCCGTTTCCCCTTAAGAACTGGGTCTCTGAAGGCGGGGCATCTCCTCCCACAGGCTCGCAGCGTGCACCCGGGGCCTGCCACATCCGGGGTATGGTCCATGGCTCCACTTGGGGCGCAAACATAGGACCTTCGGTGTGTAAAGCAGACGTGCTAACCATTGCATTATGGAGCCACCCGGTTAATGTAATGTAATGTGCAGTTATTTGTGGAAAATAGTTTGTACATGTTAGAGCTGTGTTATATAAACACGGAAGATAACTTTGAGTTACTATTCAAATATTTTATCTGTAGAGAATCAGACATCACCAAGGAGCGAATCCAGAAGATCCTGGCAACTGGCGCCAATGTTATTCTAACCACTGGTGGAATCGATGACATGTGTCTGAAGTATTTTGTGGAGACGGGCGCTATGGCAGTCAGAAGAGTTTTGAAAAGGGACCTTAAGCGCATTGCTAAAGCTTCTGGAGGTATGTCTTCTGCCTGCTCCCAGACGTGGTGCTTCATGGCCATCTCTGTTGGAATGTCAACACTAAATAGCTTTAAAAACATACTGTTTTTGCTCTTTAATGATTTGTGCTATCAACATATTTATAGTCATTTTTCATGTAGCTGGAAAAGTAATTTTACTGAATTTTTTCAACTCAAAATAACATAGTTCCATCCTAAAACGAGTGTCTGATGTATAACTGTAAACCTTAAACTTATATTTATACATTGCTTTATCATAAAGGTCTGGATCTAAGACAAGATATGAAAATATGCATGAGAGAGTAGTATTCACAGCTCTTTGTAATTATCTTAATAGCAACTATTCTATCAACCCTGGCCAATTTGGAAGGCGAAGAAACTTTTGAAGCATCAATGTTGGGACAAGCAGAAGAAGTGGTACAGGAGAGAATTTGCGATGATGAACTGATCTTGATCAAAAAGTACGAGCTACTTGTTAAATTATATAGCTATTTAAGTTTTATTAGTAAAAACAGATCACTTTCCCATTTATTTGCTGCTATAGTCTTTCAGTGATATGAGCAGTTATACGCATGGGATAAAAAAACATTGGGCCATTGCAAGTTGAGATGGAATGATGGTTTCCTCTCTTCTGCATAGTCTAGACATTGCTTCCATGTTCAGATGTCCTATGTAAGCGGGATTTAATCAAGGCACTTAACTGAATTTCTGTGTAGACTTATAAAAGTATCAATTTAAGAATTTCACTTTATTTTTTTCATAGCACTAAGGCTCGTACATCTGCATCAGTTATCTTACGTGGGGCAAATGATTTCATGTGTGATGAGATGGAGCGCTCTTTACACGATGCACTGTGTGTGGTGAAGAGAGTTTTGGAGTCAAAATCTGTGGTTCCAGGTGGGGGCGCTGTGGAAGCAGCCCTGTCCATATACCTCGAAAACTACGCAACCAGCATGGTACGAACATCTGCACACTGGCTTTATTTTCAAGGAGCAGGGGCGGGGTGGGTTAAGAGAGCATATCTAGCATTTTGTTGATACCTCATCTGGGACCTTAGCTGCTGCTGTGGGTTTTAATTTTCTTCCTTTTGTAAAGACAGCTCATTGTCTTTTTCGTAGGGTTCTCGGGAACAGCTTGCTATTGCAGAGTTTGCAAGGTCTCTCCTTGTTATTCCTAATACACTGGCAGTTAATGCGGCCCAGGACTCCACTGATCTGGTTGCAAAGTTAAGAGCTTTCCATAATGAGGCTCAAGTTAACCCAGAACGCAAAAATCTAAAATGGTAAGTATACGATTTTCCTTGTCATCTGTCACATGTATATCGGTTTTGTTTTCTGGTGATTTTATTAGCATGTCTCAAGTTTTCCTAACCTCTAGGGGGAGTTACTTTACCTCCAGGACCCCTGAGGCAAAGCTGTTAGGATTTTAAATGATGTTTAAGCCACTCTGTAGACCTTTCTACAACTTTCAGTCCTGATTTTGCTATTCATAATCAACTACTTCAGTCTTAAAGGGATCTACCAAAGGTCCTAACATTCCCAAGATTAACGTGAATGGACCAGCTGCAATTAATCAGCCACCTGATCAATTAAAATTAAAGGGATGGGGTGGGCATGTGTAAAGAGGCCATTTAACAGGTCTTGTTTTTAAATTACAGGATTGGTCTTGACCTGGTCAACGGTAAACCTCGAGACAACAAACAAGCAGGGGTGTTTGAACCAACTCTAGTTAAAGTTAAGAGTTTGAAATTTGCAACAGAAGCTGCAATTACCATTCTTCGAATTGATGATCTTATTAAATTACATCCTGAAAGCAAAGATGATAAGCACGGAGGTTATGAAGATGCTGTTCACTCAGGAGCCCTTGATGACTGATCAGTCATGTTTTATTTATAGCAATGTTAGCTGCAGTTGTCTTGTACACCTTGCATATGACACATTAAAATACAATGAGCTGTCATGAGCCTTGGGTTCTTGTGAAGTGGGAGGTGACTTACATCCTCCTCACATTGGTCCTCTGATTTCACAGTATAATTAATTTAGTGCCTTATTCAGAAAGAAGTGAGGCTCCAGTTCAGTGTAAGCGTGACTCGTAAGCAGCTTCACTCTCTCTGCACACACATTGCAATGCCCATCCCACCCCCGATGCACAGGGCAGCAACACCACGACGGCCACCCTTTCGCTCCAGCGTGTGCAGCAGGGTGACAAGAATGCGGCAGCCAGATGCTCCGAGAGGATGGCCCAGGGCGATAGCCCCTCCTTGAATGTTGACCTAAAGGGGGAAAAAAGACATTTGTTCTGTGGATATAGGATTAAAATCAAACTTCCTTCTAATGCTACACGAGTAATACTAGCTTCCTTTTCAAATTCAGTACTGTAACTGCTTAGAAACTTTTCTCTGACAACCTATCCTGACTACCTTCCTTTATAAGATTTAAAATGTCCCATGTGTGCCAGCAGTAAACTAATGCAGTCAAGAGTCTTTGCCTTGGAGAGCAACAAAATAAGTGAACTCTCAGTCCCAGCAGGCACTCGACCTACTTACTAGCCACCCACTCCTGAACAGGCGATGCCCAGGACATGCTGCCTAACTACATACACGTGTTTGCTGTTAATCGAAATTGCGCTGTGAACATTCACTCGTAAGCTCAGCACTGCTTGCCCATATTTACCTTCTCTGGGTCTAAGCCAAGTTCTTTAACTATTGCAACAGAGAGAGCTGCAAAGGCTTCATTGATTTCAAACACGTCCACATCCTCCAGTGACCAACCTGCTTTCGCAACCTAAAGGAAAGATTAGTGGAAGAGATCTAAAATCAGGTGGGACCACTGGTCATCTTATATGTAAAAGCATACCATGCCGTGTGATATTAAAGGATCTCTAAAAACCGCCACCTTGGGTGGTTCCTACATCAGCCTGTGCTAGCACATGTTTTGCCTTAGTGACACCAATTCTAAGAGATTAAGGATAAAAAGACTTGGAAATTCTAAGCTATCTTGAATTTTGAGCCAGTAACATTTGTTATGTGTAGGAGAGAGGTGACCTAGCAGAATAAAGTTCCCTAAAATATAATCCAGATGTTCTTGGTTGCCCTTTGTGGTAGAGAAAGTAGAAATGAACTCATTTATGGCTAATCAGAAGAATCATAAAAGGGACACACAAATGAAACATGACAGGAATAAATAGAAAAACAAGAATCTTGCCATTTTGGAGTGGTAAAGGACCTGAGCATTTATAAAAAAGGGCAGAACCTACATAACATTTTATCAAAGCTAAGGACAGTCACATTCAAAAGTAAACTCACGGCTTGCTTTATTGCTGGAATTGGTCCTATTCCCATAATGGAAGGCTCCACGCCTACTTGTGACCAGGAAACAATCTGCCCTAAAGGCGTGAGCCCACGGTTATCAGCTTCTGACTTCTTCATGAGAACCACAGCCGCAGCACCATCATTGATTCCTGCAAAACATCAATGTCTCGATTTAGAAAATACTGCTTGTTAACTGCTTGTTAACGTCCTGTGTCTCTTAACACCTGAAGACATGAGTTAAATGATTCTTAACCTGTCTTGGCAAAGCCACGTGCCATATTTCAGACCACAGAGTAAATAGCAATGGTAAGCTGGGCAGTATGACAGCTGACCACAGAACGTTCCACCGGGAGAAAAAGTGGAAAGATTAAAGCAGTAGGGGAGGGGACACGGATGAGAAGGAATGGAAGAAACAGCCCAGACCTCACTGGACGTGCTGGGAGTTCCGGGTTTTGGAAAAGTACAAGGGTAGGTAAAACTCGGGGGTCTCTTAATTTGCTTTTTCATTTGTATGTCTAGTTATAATATTGGGAAACCAAATCCATCCTTTCAGAACATACAGGTTAAGTCAATAATCAAATAATGGATAAAAATCTCAAATACAAACTACAAATTTCCCCCTGAAGCAGCTAAAGTAAGGTTTTAGAATAATTTGTATATAGTTAATGAAATGAAGTATAAAGAAAAGTAACTTGGCAGACCTAGCAGAAGATGGGATTTCCTCAACTGCCCTTCAGAAACTAACCTGAAGCATTTGCTGGGGTGACTGTCCCTGTCCCATCTGTGAGGAAGTACGGCTTCAGTTTAGACATGGCTTCTATGTTGCTCCCATGGTGAGGAAACTCATCCGTTTTAACTTCAGTAAGACCTGAGAAAAGGAAAATCAGTTACCCAAGATTAAAACATGGCAGTCAGCATGCCAGGAATGGCAGATTGCCCAGACGTGATAGCTAAAGATTCACATTTGAAAGAAAGACATTAAAAAATACTTTCATTCCAACAGGAGGGACATACATGCTAATAAAAGTTACTGCATGTTAGAACATCTTACGAGCAATACCCTCATGAGACATTTTGAGTGTTTTCCATATGCATAGCCCTTTCTGAGGAAGGCAGTTACCAGGAGTTCTTCATGCAAAACGTTGACACTGGTTTGGGACATACGACTTGGCTGGTCACAACTGACTGGGTCGGGGAGTGTCAAAACCAGTCTCATCAGGGCTGGACAGAAGACATGTCAGTTATCAGTAACAGAACTTGGCGGGAGCACTCCACGTTAGGTAACCGCAAAGTGACCCAAGAAGATCCACCCAAGAAATACGAAATGTACACAGAAGCAACAGGAAGTAATGGATGTTCACTGCTGAGATTCTGCCTGTGAGGGCAAACGGTCGGCTGTTGCCTCTTCACAAACATGAGCCACTGTTTGAGTTTCTTAAGAAACCTGCTCTATCTACATGGCAGTGTGGACACTGGGACCAAGAGTGCTGAGTGCTGGCACAGCTTCCCATGTTTCCTCACCCCATAAACATGCTCCCCCAACCCATATTCAGATGTATCCAGGACGCGCGCGCGCGCACGCACACACACACACACACACACACACACTTATACATACAATCTTTTCTTTGCTACCTGAAAGATATGACACAATTTATACACAGTCCCATATATTGTTATTCTTCCCTATAAATAGCCACGTTGATGTTTAAATCATTATGATCTACCCACCTTTTCTAGAAGACACAAAAACTGGTACAATCTCTTTGTCAAAATGGCCAGCCTTCTGCGCACTCTCTGTCCTGTTCTGGGACAGAAGTGCAAACTTGTCCTGATCTTCTCTACTCACTTGCCATTTTTTGGCTACGTTTTCAGCTGTGAAAGAAAAAATAAAGCAAAAACAAACATTTTCAAGAACTGGCTTTGCTAGCTTAAGTTTTTCACATTTAAACGAGCACTGACCACCCGACACCATCAGGCTCACTGGTGGGCTGACAGCACAGTGCTCGGTTGGCCATCTTGCCTCCCACTGGCGATGAATATGGAAATGATACCGTGACTGCTAAGCCAGCTTCTTGGCTTCCTTCTCTCTTCCTTTCTATATAATTTTAAATTTTCAGAAATTCCTTTGCAGGTTCACCGATTAGTTTTGCCCCAACTGCTTTATCATTCTCTTTCTGAACCATTTGAGAGAAAGATGTAGATATTATACTCCTTTACCCTAAATTTAATTTGTGTACTTCCCTAAAACGAAGCCATTTTCTTACATAACCACAGCTATCAAAATCAGGAAATTTAACATCGATACAATACTATTAGCTAATTCTTCATAATCAAGTTTTACCTATTGTCCCAATGATGTCCTTTATAGCTAATTTATTTGTTCAGTTCAGGATCCCAGCCAGGATCATACACTGTATATTACTCTGTCAATCTCTTTAGTTCCTTTTTATTTGGAGCAGTTCCTCTGACTATCTCTGTGTTCTTAACCTTGATATTTTTGAAGAGCAGGGGGCAGTTCTTTTATCAGATGTCTCTAATTCTGGTTGTTGGTTGTTTCCTCAAGAATAGATTAAGATTATGAAAAAAAGCAGGTGTACCACTGAATGAGGATATGATCTTATCAAGACACATGTACTATCAGGTGATACTAGCTTTGATCAGTTGGTTAAAGTGGTATCTACCAAGTTTCTACATTGTAAAGTTACTATTTTTCCATTTATAGTTAATAATTTATGAGAAGTTATTTTGAGATTACAAAATAACTCCTTCCTCATCAAATTTTACCCACTAGTTTTGGCATTCATTTATGATTTTCTAACTCCAACACTCCTTCTATATGTATTGGTTGGCATTCTACTGCAAAAAGCTTTTCCTTCTCTCTCCATTTATTGTTATTTAACGTCAGTTTGGGTTCATGTATTTTTATATTATTTAATAAATTATAACCTGTTACTATCATTATTTGATGCTCAAACTTTTGAAGATTTGGGCAGTAGGAGTCCTTTAAGCTGGCTCCTGGATCCTTGGGTCAAGACCCCATGTGCTCTAAGCACAGCCTTATTTTTTTTAGCACTTTTGTCTTAGTCCTGCAATGAACCATTCCTCAAAGGAATCTTAGTTCTTTTTAGTGGAAAGGGCATCCAGAAACCAAGATCTGGGTGTTACAACTGCTCATTGTTACCGGCAGGTTACTGTTTCTGTGCCTATTCATTAAGAACCAATATGCACGTCCAATTTACGACTGAACAGAAACACACATTTGTGGTACCTTGAGTTCATACTGATATCTCTGAATGCAACCTAACACAACTACATTCTTCCCTCTCTAGAGACTTGAAACTCCCTGCTACAATAATGAGAAGCCTGGCTCCCATCATCAATACATTCACTCATTTGTTCACACCAAGAATATACAGAATGTAGTTTCAGAATGTTATGCTATACCACTGGGAAAAGCAAACCTAATAACTAGAGCTCGATATCTAGTCACAGTTCTTTTTTCTTATTTTAGGTAAAACATACATGGAGTAAAATACAAAAATCTTAAATATGTAATTCAATGAGGTTTGACAAATGCATGCAACCATATATCCCATATATGTCTGTAACATTTCCATCACCCCAGAAACTTCTCACGTGCCCCTTACCCATCTCCCCCTCCTTGAAGCAAATGTTTTGATTCCTTTCACAATAGATTACAAAAGCGATTCCATGTCTTCTTTTCAGCACTGTCTGTCATATTTGTCCATGTAGTTGAGTTTATTACTGTTCCATTTTACCAATGAATAGTATTCCATGGTATAAATATACAACTATTTGTTATGCATTCTGTTGATGGACACCTGAACCATTTTCAGAATTTGACCGTTAGGAATAAAGCTGCTATAAACACATTTGTAGAAAGCTTTTAGTGACCAACATTTTCATTTCTCTTGAGTAAACTGCTAAATCTTTTTCCAAAATAGCTATACTCATGCCTGCGATGTATGAGAGTCTAGTTGCTCCATATCCTTGCCGCCATTTGGTGATGTCAGTCATTTTCATTTTAATCATCCTAATAGGTGTATAATATATCTCATTATGGTTTTAATTTGCATTTTCCTCATAAATAATGTTGAACACTTTTTCATGTGCTTATGACTATTCATATATCTTTCTTGAAGAAATATATGTCCAAATCTTTAGTTCATTTTTCAAATGGGTTGCCTTTGTATCATTGTTATAGTGCTTTATATATTCTAGATATGTCCTTTGTCAAATACATGTATTATGAATATTTTCTCCCTATCTGTGGCTTGCTTATTCATTTTCTTAACAGTGTCTCTGATGATGAGCAGAAGTTTTAATTTTTTAGAAGTCTAATTTATCAAACTTTTCTTTTTAAGGTTATTGCTTTCTGCGTCTTGTTTTAACTCACCCCCGGGTTTGGAAGCTATTTTCTTATGTTTGACCTCTAGAAGTGTTATAACTTCCATTTGTCCTGTAACAGAAGTTTCTCAATGGTAGACCTGAAATATAGTCTCCTGTATTTTCCTGAGCAAGCATAATAGTTCTGGTTGAGTCAGTCCCACAAGGCTACTGTGTAACCTGAGGATGGTCCAAAGTTGAAAAGCCTATGCCCGTTTTGAAGAATCAAGGATTGTTAAACTTTGGTAAAATTTCTGACTTTGTAGCCTTCCTATCTGGAGAAAGTAGGTAAAATCCTTTAAAAAAACAAAAACAAAAACTTTTATTTTTAGATCCATGGTTTATCTCAAATCATATTTGTATATGGTAGGAGGTAGAAACTGAGAATCATTTTTTCCATAGGAGTAATTTGTTGTCTCAGCACTGTTCACTGAAAAAGCGTTCTTTTCCCCATTTCGTTACACTGATACCATTATTGAAAATCAGTATAAGTCTGTGTCTACCTCTGTATTCTCTACTCTATTTCACTGGTCTACTTGCCTATCCTTATGCCAAAACCACACTGTCTTGATAAACGCACTTGACAGTAAGTGCTAAAATCAGATAGTGTAAGTCCTTCTATCTTCTGCTTTGCCAAAATTCCCCCCTATCTGTGGCCTTTTTGAGATGCCAATGGAGTGTCAAGTGAGTTCAGTAAGGTCCATATGCCTGTGTCCCCCAGTAACCCATGAAATGTCCATTCAATTCACAGCTCCCTAGCAGCTGTTTTCCACTCGGCCTTGCAGGGTGTTGCCCTGCACGGGCAGGGCTAAGTACGTGGCTAAAGATTTAAGGGGACCCTTACGTATTTCTGGATCTTCTTTTCTTGGTAGCTCCCTTCTTTCCAGTACCCTGTCCCACAAACTCCAGCCATATCGGCAGCTCCAAACTCTGACCTCTGCCTCCCCAGTTCATCCAGGTTACTATTCCCTCCGGGAGAAAGTCTGGAAAATAACTCCAGATAGAAAGCCAGTGAGAGGCTTTCTCTTCTTTGAAGAATCTCGGTCTTGCATAATTGTTGGCTAACATTTGAAAACATTTGCTTGATATATTTTGACTAATTTTATACCTGTTTATTGTAGGAGGTCTAGTCTTTATTAATTACTACATCATGGCCTGAGCTATTATTATCTTTTTCTTTTCAGAAATTTATTTTCTCACAATTCTGGATGATAGAAGTCTAAGATCCAGGTGTCAGCAAGTTTGATTTCTCCTGAGGCCTCTTTCCTTGGCTACCTTCCCACTGTGTCCTCACGTGGTCTTTCTTCTGTGCCTCTATCTTTGGTGTCTCTTCCTCTTCCTATAAGAACGCTAGTCAGACTGGATTAGGGCCCACACTAAAGGCCTAATCTTAACTTAATTATCTCTTAAAAGTCCCTAACTCCAAATATAGTCATATTCTGACATCATACATTAAAGCTTCAATGTATGAACTTTGAAAGGATGCAATACAGCTCATAACAGCTCGGAAAGGACTTGGGAGCCGAGTTTTTAATGATTATCTTTGGTGATGTTAAGGCAGTTAGTTCAAGAAACTCTTGCCTAGACACTATGGCAAGTAAAACTGGAAAGGCCCACATCACCTTCCATGGTCTGCCCATGAGCTCCAGCTCTCTCTGCTGTGGCTCTCACTCGCACAGTGACAGATGCTTTGAGCTTCTCTCACTGTTACCCTCTGCTTAGAATCTTGCCTCTTCTCTATTATCTTTCCCATATGATTTATACCTCTCATTGACACAGAATCATTGCCACATGCATTTAAGCAAGGTGCTGAATCTCTCAGGTTTGTTTCTTTAACTCTAAACTTAAATGTCCCTTCTGTTCTTAAACGTTACATTTATACGCAGTAAAGACACAAGTTCTTTTGATCTTCCAGTGGCTTTGCCAATAAACCTAGATCGCGAAGGCTTTCTATGTGGGTGACTAATGAAGAGCTGACTGAGCATTGCGAAGAACACAGGCAGGGACCAGGTTTACCTCTGACATTGCCTCTGCCACAAAGCCACTATTTGTGGGCCCTTCCTTCTTCATATGGTAAAGTACAGATTGATTCAGAAGAATTCTGAGGCTCTTCCCACCTCTAACATTCCTTGATAATCAAGGAGTCACAAAGGATAAAGTGGCTATTTCCTCACTTAAGTTCATCAAAGGGGAACTATCCCTGTTATCAGGGACACAAAATTATTAGAAACGCTCCCTGCCCAAATGAGGAAAGCACCCACGAAGCCAATTATGACTTTTAACGTTTTAACAGGAAGTACATGTTCAGCTACGTCTGCCTCACCGGTAATGCCCATGTGGTAGTTGAGAAAGGCGTCTGTAAGCCCATCATGGAGGATACTGTCGGTCAGCGGTGTTTCTCCAATCCGGACTCCTGCCCTCAAGTATGCCAAGTGAGGAGCCTGGACACGCAAATGGAAACACACGTGGACTTAGGTTTGGTGGTAACTAGTCATCTTCCCTCAGGATCCTATTCTAAACTATCCGGGGGTCCCCCAGTCCTCACCTAGCCCCCTTTTGACCCCTCTCCTCAGTTCCAGCCCATCCTCCTCCTCATCTAGGGTCAGGGCCCAAAGGCCTCTGGAATCAGCCAACCGTTCCACGCTGCCTGCTCTTGAGAACCCATTAGTCTCCTACCCACCCATTTCCCTTTTCCACCAAACCTGTCCCTTCCGTGTCCTGTTTCCTTGGGAGCCTTATTTATTCTTTCCAAAGAGGCAACCAGTTATGTTAGATGAGGACATCATCTAAGGGCTTAAGTGATGCTAACAATGTGTCATTTATTTTGATGGGAGACTAATGTCTGGAGTGAGAATCACCAGGTTGCCTAATCAACTGATGGGGAAGGATTTCTAGGCAGGGCATCCTCTTAACTCCTGCCAACTCAATAGCAGCTATAACAGAATGGAAAGACTTAGAGCCAGGTCTGTATTTAAATCCTGGCTCTGGCCTCAGTTTACCTACCTGTAAATTAAGAATGATACCATCTACCCTCTAAGGGCTGTTGTGACTGCATAAAAGCACGTCTTAAAGTACTACACAGGTCCCATGGGAATCACTCTGTGTTCGTTACCTTCAGCCTACCTCCTCCTGGGCCTCGGCAATGGTGGGGCTACATTGGCCTCTGCCCAGGGGATCCCCAGGTCAGACCCTGAACTGCCTGCAAGAGGCAGGGGATGTTCTTTTTCCTTTTTCACTGTGCCGATTTGAGGGATGGAACCTGGCAAAACAAATCTCACCTGGCAAACCTCTTTGAGAAGGACACCACTCAGCGGTCCTCCTTTCTGAGTTCTATACCTCCCAAAGGTCAACAAATTTCAGTCCCTGGGGTCCTCTCATGTGCAGAAAGGTAAGTGGCAACATCTGTTTTTGACTTTTCCTCGCAACAAGAGAGAAATTAAGACCAAGGATATCTACAGGCTAACATTATAGGCTTAATTAGGAAAATATTTTACGCTTTGGTAATGTTTTAGAAAAACTGTATTCTGTTCTAATCACACTGGTTGACAGGATTTTTCTTCAACCTAGATTTCCCATCCAACTTGAAAAGTAACTAACATTCAGGTAGGGATCAAGGTTGAATCCATTTTCTGTTTATTTGTTTGGTTCTAGCTCTGATACGCATCAGTTTACTCTGCGATGGCATGGACATGAGTTTATTACTGACAGGTCAAAGAGAGCCACCTCTTCAGAGGCCTTACCTTGCTCATATTCTCCATGCCTCCTGCAACCACAATGCTGGAGTCTCCAACCATTATTGACTGGGCTGCAAGGCAAACAGCTTTCAGGCCCGACCCACAAACCATTTGGCAGCTCCACGCTGGAACAGAGTAGGGGATCCCTGCTCCCATACTGGCTTGTCGAGCAGGATTCTGTCCACAACCTGGAACAATGAACACAGAGGACTCCCAGCCATCAAAGAGAAAGATAAAATATGTGGGTAAAAATAAACACAAAATCAGGAGATGGCCAACTGGGTCTCCCTCCCAACCAAACCAAAGTCCACCAGAGGCAAAAAAGGTCTGTGTAACACTCTACATCTGTCACAGTCTAGCCCGTGAATACAAACTATCCTGTGGTGCTCCACAGGTATTTCATGGCTGTATGCTTTCTTTTCCACAAAGGAGTCATATCTATCTTAGGAAGGAGCTGGCTTCTCGTTCCCAAACGTTCCCGTATGAACACAGGACGGGATGTGGACACGGTGCATGTCTCCAACCAGGCTGTGTACTTCTGGGATCTGGGCTTAGACCCCTGGGAAGATAAGGGGGTCACTTAAAAAGTAAAACTTCTGATAAGAAGCACTTCTTTCCTTGATTAATATTCACCACACCAACGTTAACTGGTTATGTAACAAGTTATATACAACATGAGAACTGATAAATACTTTTCTAGAATTCGATTGTGGGGAGTTCCTTCAGGGAATGGGAAGACATATATCACATACTTATTTAATTTAATCGAAGTAGTGGAGAAGGGGATGGAGCCGATAGCTTCAAACAGCCTTAGTCACCACTGTCTGTTATCAAAGGGTCAATGTTTATACAGTGTCGCTCCATTGCAAATTTCAGATACACCCACACCTAGCCCCCTTGCTTGGTGAGTTTGTTGGAAAATCTAGCATATGGGTTGTTACAATATTTAGAGATTACGGTCATCACAGTGTTATTAATCTGGGATTAGTCTGGAAGGTAAAAACTGGACATTGAGGATACAGAAAAAGTATTTAGAAAAACAGTTTCAAAATAGTCTCTGAATTAAACTCATGGGACACTAGTTAATCAAAAAGACAATATTATTTAAAGTTCCTGCTTTTTATGCTACAATGAATTACATATGCATTTAAGTAAAGTAACTCCTTTATAAAACCTTTATTATTTATTCATAATCCTCATCTTCAGGTACTTCAGAGTTAAGAAATGAGTGTTGAACATAACTAACTATAGTAGCCTAGCATTTAGCAAAGGATACGAGCTCATTGAGAATGAGGATTTCTGATATGAACACTGCTTATCTCTAGCTGACAGAACAGTGCGTGGCACACACCAGGTGTTCAATAAATAGTTACACGATTGTGGAGGGTACCTGGGCTTAAGGAGGACAGATTTGGGTTTAAGCGCTAGCTCCACTTTGAACTGTGACCCTGGATAAGTTACCTGACCTCTCAAAACCTCATTTACTCATTTGTAAAATGTAGATAATATGATCCAACGGACTGAGAGGATTAAATGAGGTAATTAAAGGAACACACGAAGCACAGCACTTTAAAGGCCACTTAGCAGGCCCTCAACAAATGTAGCTATCGCTTTTATTATAACTACGTGGAACTACTGTAGAGGCGAGATGAGGACACAATACCAGAAAAACCAGCAGCTGAGTAACCTGTTGCACATGAGTAAGGCTGAGGCAAGGGTGTGGAAAGGAAGAAAGGAGAAGTGACTGAAGGCTAAAGGTTATTGAAAACCTTGAGTCATGATAAACCTTGAGGCATGCTTGGACTTTAAGGATCACGTGGACATGTGGAGAAAGGAAGACTGGGAAGAGGAACTACAAAATTACAAAGTAAAAACACAGAAAAATGGGCCAAGTCTCATCTCAGAATGAGTAAGGACAAAAGTTTGTTGTTTAGTGAGCATTAGCAATGATCGCCACAAATTAGAATTTGTGCTACCGAGTGAGCATGAAACCATGTAGGGAGCTAAAGCTCCCCAAATTCAAAAGAGTGCATGGATTATCTCGGGAGGCCTGCTTGCATAAAAAAGGGAAAAGGCTGGTTCTGAGGAATTCCAGGAAGAAGAAGATTAAGTATAGACAAAGGGAGTGTCGATCATACTTCAATTCTCAGGATGTTACTTTAATTATGTTATCTGGGGATACACAAAGGAACAGATTATGTATAAAAAGAAGCATAAGAAATAAACTCGGAGAGACAGTTGTGAGATCTGTTCTCCCTCCTGCACCCTGTCTGTCTTCTCTTTTTTCTCAGTCCCCGCTCCCCCATTCAGGTACCCGGTTTGACTTGGTCGGCTGGTTTCCGACAAAACCAAAAATAATTTAACTAATTAGGAACCGTCAGGGATTGCAGGTCTATTAAACCAGCGGGAATCAGAAGTGAGACTGGAGCACTCCAGTAAAACACTTATGACAAACCCAGGCATGACCCACCTTCTGTGAGGATTGGGAAGCAAAGCCCACCTTACTGGTTCAGAAGTGAGATCCATGGGGGCAAAGACCCTGTGTTGTTGGAGTTCTAACCCCACCTAGCACAGTGCAGGGCACGAAAGAAGAATGCAATACATTTTTATTGAATGTGTGACACTTTAGGGAAATATAGAGGGTTGTGCAAACTCTCCTATGCCTCGGGCTGGCCCTGCTTCTAAAGAATGAAAAGGCAGTGGAGGATGGTGGCCTAGGTTCATTCAGAAAAAGCATATTAATTTAAAGACACCCAGTGGAGAGAAGCTATTGATGGGACTTGGAGGACGGGCGACAGGAAAAATTAGAAGGAACTCCTGTGAGCAAATGTATGGAGCCAACGACATAAGTTTCAGCAGGGGTGGGGTTGGGGTCGTTGATGGGCTGCTTCTAATAAACCTGACCTCTGCCAGAGTCACTGGGGAGTTACCTGCTGCCAAAACGTGTCCAAATATAACCTCTGACACATCTTTGGGAGCCACAGCGGCCCTCTTCAGGACTTCTTTGATGACAGCTGAGCCCAGGTCATACACAGGAACGGTGGACAAGGCACCATTGAAGGAGCCTAGGACAGAAGAGAATGCGAGGGCGATGAAGACGGTGCCCACGGCGCGAGGACGGCAGCCGCCGGAGGCAGCTCATCAGGGTACAAAGCAGAGAGCGTGTGACTTGTAGCAGCCGAGACCCCGGAGCGTGGCTCCCAGAGCTCTCGGGGTACCGCGGACCCGCGGGAAGCCTGCTCATTCATTCCCTAAGACCAAGCGGAAGGGCCACGCTTCCCTAACAAAAGAAGCCGCCCCTCCCGCGCCTCCAAGGGCTTTGAAAACTCTACAGCACTAGGGAGAAGGAGGCAGTTCGCAGTAATCCTCGTTGGACCCACCAGACTCCTGCCCCCGGCCCTGGATCAGACCACCCAGCGGCCCCGCCCCTGCGTCCTCGGAGCAGAGACCGCTGCACCGCCCAGCAGACCACGCAGAAGCCTCGGCAGAGAACGCCTCTTCCCGCCGGCCAATGGGAGAGTCGGACGGCGCGTGGTTCTACCCGGGGAGCCAATCAGAGCACGCGAAAAGGAATGGCCTTCACCCGGCGAGGGGCGGGGCTTTCCAGCCGGCCGGGGGAGGCTTGAGGCGCGTGGTTCTAGGGGGGGGGTCCCAGACGCCCCAGGGGTCCCCGCGACCCGGCCAGGCCCGCAGCTCCTACGCCGTGCCAGGACCGCCGGCCACTCACCTATGACGGTCCGCGCTGCTGAGACGATGACCACGGAGTCCGAACCTGCACTCATCCTGCCGCACGAGTACCTCACACAAAGATGTAGTCCCAGTGCTGCCCGCGAGTGAGGCAAAGCCTTTCTGGGACCTCGACGTACCACCGAGGGGCGGGGCCGCAGGACTCCCGCCTCCCCG